GTCGAGCCGGCTCTTTTGGAGCAGAAGTTTGAACGGATGTCCTCGGAGGTGGCCATTCCTGGATAGCGTCAATAGAGTACTACACGGGTGGTTTGGTTGATGTAGTATTTGATAAACGAGGATCATGTCTCCCCGTATTGGACGGTATCCAGACAAGTAGAGTCCGAGAATTCGCAGTCTTTTACCGTAGGTCTTAGATTGTAACCCTTTGACCATTTTGGTTACTGTTCTCTGCGGACGTTCAAGTTCCTTTTGGTCGCGAATCAACCGTGGATTCCAAGCCTGTATAGCATACTCAGTGTGTGGTCTAATGTATGCTGATAATAAACGACGCAATAGGTCTATTTCAAATGATCCAAAAACACTTTAGAATATCAAGCTTGGATTAGACCATTCGATTGTTCGGAGGCACCAAGCGCTCCATCGCATTTAAATGCATACAAACAGTGGGGAATTAACGGTCTCCCAAGGAGACACCCCACACCGAGAACCATCAAGAGTGCCTGGTGCCTCTGAACAATCGAATGGGCTAATCCAAGCTTGGTACTCTAAATTGTTTGAGCCATTTGCACAAGGTGATAACCGTTGGCCGTGTAGCTCAGGGGTAAAGGTTTGAAGTCCCGACCCGACTGATCGCGGTTCGCAGTCGACAGGGACAAAAAACGTACGCACTGCTGACGAGTCCCAAACAGGACGAAACAGCTGTCCAGTGCTCTTTGTTGGTTATCACAAACATTTTCATCGCATTTAGATCCAAAAACACGTTTTAGCAATCCAACGTGCTTTATAGCATTTGAAGATGCTCTTGCGCAATGTGTGGAACATCCAAGATCCTCATGAACGATAACTCCTAGGTCCTTTTCGTTTGGAGAACGCGGCACTGGCTGAGTTCCAAGTAAGTATGGAAAGCGACCCTTGTGGCGCAGCGATACAACCTTGCATTTTTCAACGTTGAATTCGATATCATTAATGATGGACCATCGGTAAGCTGCGTCGAGAGTTT